CTAATCAAAGATACCATTCGAAATTATGGAGGAGTGTTGAAGATCACCACAACACTATTGAGGGCAGTAAAAGAATCTCACAAATCATATCAAGAATATATTAGAAAAATGATCATGATTAATTTGTTTTTCTCTAACTTCTAATATAAATTGCTGATTTGAAATCTAATAATATCACACAATAGTTTTTCTTAATAAAGTAAGGTAAAGGGTAATAATAAAGTTTTGATTAAGAAGGTAAAAATTAAATAAAAATCCAAGTTGGTGTTAATTTATTTTTTCTCTTGATTTATTCTCACTTTTGCCTGTTCCTGAATTATGCACTTAATTTCTGATAGGTAATATGTAAAGTTGAAATTTCATTTTTACACTTTAGAGATTTCATTCTTGACTTAATAAATTTCAGAGTTTTATTTTATGGCTTGCAATTATATATGATATGTGTGAATGAATTGTAATAATCTTCTGTTATGGAATAAACTACCGTGTGATCTGTTTTTAACCTAGCAAAATCATATATTACCCCTAATATTTTTTGAAAAAAGTTCCTAAAATTACCCTAAAATTTAAAAAAACTTTGCTGCTACCCCTGATAGAAAACTGATTTTCAGTGTTTAAAAAATTTTTTTAGGAACTAAGAATAATTTGTTTTTTCTTTTTATAGGCATTTTTATTATAACACAGCAATTTTTTTTGAAAAACGTTACTAATAAACTTCATTTTATAGTTTTTATTTTAAACTTTATATATGGCAATGTGAAAAATTTAAATTGAGATTTTCATTAAAAAAAATTCAGAGCATTTTTTGTTTCGATCTAGCTTTTTATTTATTTATTTTTTTAAAAGAAAAAAAACTTTTTTTTAAATAGATGTTTTCAATTAAGAGAATTTCTGTTGACTTAATTCTTTTTTCTTTACTTTATCTGGTTATTGGAAAACTGAGATGTTCAGCTTTAAAATTTTCTTTCGAAAATTAAAATAGATTTTTATTTTCAAAAGAGTTCTTGGTAGGCCTTATTTTTTTGCGTTGATTTATGAATCCGTTTTACCGGAATATATTTTTAGCATAGAAGTTTTGGTGTCACTATGCTGCTAAAAAATTTTGCTATTTGGCTCCAAATATACGGTATTAGGTTGTTTTTTTATTGCTTGCTTGAAAATTTAAATAAGTATTAACTATTTTTGAATTAAATGCCTATTACTATTTAAAATTATGACTAAACGTAATACGTAACATTTCAAGTACATGTAATTTTAATTGTAACTGGAAAATATTGCAGTTTTATTTTGATGATTATAAAGATCCCTGAAATTCCCTGTGTATAAAATAGTACATTGTGAAAAAATTGTAATGAAATTTATATTTAGTAACCTACTATGAAACGAGAATTTTAAAAACCTAACTTAGGAGTTGGATCATTTGTCTGTTAGGCCTTATATACTGAAGTCTAAATTATTTATATGTATTGTTGGGCAAAATTGTTTCAGCTCTAATTTATTAAGGGGTCATAGTACCAAAATAAATGACCAAAATAATACACTTATTTAAACTGTGGATTGAATAAGCGTTTTATGAGGTAGTATTACAATTTTTACAGCATCAATATATACCCAACAGTAATTTTTAACCTTTTTTCTACTTTTTTACAAAATAATCTATAAAAAATGTTACAATTAATATATCTACAAAGAATGCACAAAATTGTTAAGAAAAAAGAAGAAAAATTTTTGAAGATAAATTATTAATTATAAGTTAAATGTTGTTGTTGTTGTTACTTTACGTCGCACTAGAGCTGCACAATGGGCTATTGGCGACGGTCTGGGAAACATCCCGGAGGATGATCCGAAGTTAAGTTAAATGAAGACATGTAAAGCATCCACAGAATAAATAATTGTACCTTTATTTAAAAAAAAAAATTGCAAGGGTACTGTGCCCACTTAAAATATTTATATCTTGCCTTTGCTACCATTCAAAAAATATTTACCACAACTAAGGAAATTTTATTGTAGGTGGCACAAAGAAAGATAACCTGCAATTCAATTTTATTAAAGAATACTTAAGTGTACTGAACTTCAAGCATATTTTAATTCAAAAATATGTATCTCTTAAAAAAAAAAAAACTTAATTTCTGCTATGATCTGCAAAGGTGGCTTTTTCTTTCCGAAGAAGAGATTTTAGTCTTTATGAGATGGGGGGGGGGGAGAATTTCCTCTGATCTTTTGATTTCCTCTGATTTTAGTGTTTACAAAATGTATTTTCTCACATCAACAGGGTTGCCACTCCACAGGGAAAACCTGAAAAATACAGGGAATTTAAATATCAACTAAAATAACAGGCATAACCGCTGGGAGTTTTACTTCTTATTTTTTTTAAAGTGGTGTCCACTCAAGAGTGCAATCTTGGGATATTAGAGGATGATATTTTAGCTATACTAAGCTTTTTCATTTAAATTTGTCTAATTTTATTATATACAGTCAAACCCCGATACAGTGAACCTTTAAGGGACCGAAATTTTGGTTCGCTATATCCGTTAAGCAGACAATTTAACTAATGGTTCTCAAACTCCTCCCTTTTATTACACATTATTCAAATAAATGACTGAAAAATATTATGTAGTAGCAAAAAATGTGTTATTTTTCATTATTCTTCGTTTTGCTTACAAAATTTTTTTTTGTCATCTTTAGCTGATGAGTAATCCTCAACATCAGATAGGGAAACACATCCCGACACTCTTAGATAATTTTTTCCGAATTTTTGTTATTCTGCATTTTAAACAGGGTTCGTTGATTTAAATCAGCTTGATTAAAATCAAATGATTTTTTTAAAAAAATCATTGATTTAAATCAATTAATTTATATATATATATATTATATTGATTTTAAAAGGTAAAAAACAGTGCTTTAAATATTGATACTTTTATTATTTCGTAACTTAATTAATAGTTAGCACTAATTAATTAGCACATTTGAGGTCACCCGCAGGAACCATTAAGATTGACACTTAGTTCGTGAAAATCCGATCATTAGAACGAAAGTTATTCAGGGTGATTCGTTTTTTTTTTTNTTGATGGAAATTTCTATATTTCTAAAGCTT